GTTAACAACCAAATGCCTTACCTACTATGCCATCAAAACAAAAACAAAACAAACTCAGAAGGAAGATTGGGCAATCTACTTTCATAGAGACACCATCTCAGAAGCCCAAGGAGGGGTTGCTATGAGTCTAATTGACTCGACAGCAATAAAGGAGAACTGAATTATAACCCAAAGTATAATGTATCCAGGAGTCCACACGAGTATGAATGAATAAATAAATAGAGAATAGCCACATCTCCCATACACAACAAAGCCAAAAAATATATATAGATACCCTGCTTTCAAGGAGGTGAAGCAGAACTCTCCATTCCTTAAGTGTGAACTATATTAGTGCTTTCCTTCCAAATAACACACTGTGGAAAGGGAAGGGAAAAAGAGCAACTTTACAGTCAAAGAAGCTGACAAACACTTCTTCAAGCCAGGTGATCAAGGTTAACTTCAATAGTGATAAATCATATCGATAGTATGTACCCTTTATATGATATGATGAGAAGGACATCTTACCTCTGTGGACTTCCTCAAAAACCCATAATGACAGTCTTATCGTGATAAAAATATCAAACAAATCCCAACTGAGGGCCATTCTACCTGATCAGCACTTCTCAAAACTCTTGAGATCATCAGAAACAAAGTCTGAGAAACTATCACAGTCAAGAGAAGGCTAAGGACTAAATCTACTATGGCATCCTGGATGGAGTGCTGGAGCAGAAAAAGGATATTAGGGAAAAATTCAGGAAATGTGAATCAAGTGTGGACTTTGGTTAATAATAATATATTGATACTGGTTTATCAATTGCAACAAATATACCACACTAAGATAAGATGTTAATAATCTGGGAAGCTGGATAGAGAGCATATGGGGACTACCTGTATTATCTTCACAATTTTTACTTTAAGTCTAAAACTAATCGAAAATAGTTATTTTTAAAAAAAAGATACTAGGTAGTTTACAGACCCTCAGAAGACAAAAAATCAGGCTTTGGAGTCTGGCTGCCAGGAACAATGCTCCAGCAACACCAAGACACTCTAAGAGTGACAACATTAAAACTTGTCTGTGCCTGGAACAAACACCAGAACCAAATCAAAGGTGTCTCCTGGTTAAATCTTATTGGTGGGTCCTGCATCACATATTTACACCTTTCTGCAAGGAAGGTTGCAAATACTAATCCCGCTTCTAATTTGAGAGGATGGGAGTCAAAATATGGGAAGCCTCCTGAAACCAGTGTGAAAGAAGGACCACAAAACCATGACAAATGTTTACTCCAGCAGCACAGCTCTTATTGCATAGCTCTTATTGCATAGCTTATTATTCCTAGAAGTGTATAAGCTCTTAGGCAAAATAAATAATTTGTCATTCTTCTCTTCAAAAAGAAAAAGAAAAGAAGCCATCAGAATCATGTCACTCTTCTGCTAAAACGCTTTGGGGGACTTCCCTCTTTTCCTCCAAATTAAATTCAAAATCCTTCACCTGACTTTGAAGTCCTCCTCCATGGCTTGACTTCTGCCCACCCCTCCTACTTCATCACACACCACACTCCAGCAAGAGTGGACTGCTCTGGGCTCCTCAAACATGTCGCACTATTTCTTTGCACTGTCTGTTTCCTCTGCATGGAATTATCTTCTCTTGTCTGTGTCCCTACCCCCCCTGTCTGCCTAAATCCTGATCATCTTTCAAGACTCAGCTTCCGTGTCTCTTCTTCAAAAACTCTTATTAAGTCCCTCTGCTTTAGGCTTCCACTGAACAATAAAATTTTCCTTTTAAAAACACATTGTATTTATAATTAATTGGATAACTTGTGTGTTTTCTCCCCAAAGTAGTCCCCAAAATTTGCTCTGTAAATGCCCACCCAAAAAAAAAAAAAAAAAAGCAAGTTGTTTTGAGAAAGAGAGGACAGAAAGCTTTTGGAAGTCTGGAATGGGAACACAGAGGTAGAAGGAAAAGAAGGCCTGAAATCGCTGAGAGAGGCAACGTACTGTCCAACCTGGAGTCCTGGCCAGGTAGGCCCTGCATAGGAACCAGTGGCAGCTCCTGAGCCAGGGCCCGACTAGGACAACAGCATTAGGAATGATTTCAACAAGGGAAGCTGAATGCTTTATGAGGGAAAGGAAAACAAGTTGCTAGACAGCCAAAAACAAAAAAACTGTGTAACAGCTTATTTCCTAAAGCACAATGAAAAGATAACATAGCCCACATAATATTAATAAAAAAAACCATACCCACTGACATTGAGTCAATTCCAATTCTTAGTGACCTCATGTGTCACAGAGTAGAATTTTCCATAGGGTTTTCTTGGCTGTATGTAATCTTTACAGAAGCAGACCACAAAGTCTTTCTTCCACAGTATCACTGTTGTTGTTGTTATGTGCTGTCGAGTCGGACCCGACTCATAGCGACCCCTCCTTGGGTTTCCAAGGCAGTATCACTACGGAAGTAGATAGTCCAACCTTCCTTCCGAGGAGTGGCTGGTGAGTTTGAACTGCCAGCCTTCTGCTTAGCAGTCAAGTGCTTTAGGCACTATGCTACCAGAGCTCCTGTATCACTGGGTGGGTTCAATCTGCCAACCTTTCAGTTAACAGCTGAATACTTATCTATTTATGTCACACAGGAACCTCTATATGTAACACTACTGTGTTGTTGTTATTAGCTGCCAGCAAGTCAGTTCTGACTCATAGCTACCCTATGTATAACATAGGGAAACACTGCCTGGTCCTGCAACATCCTCACAATCTTCACTATGCTTGAGCCCATCATTGCACACTGTGTTAATCCATCTCATTGATGGTCTTCCTCTTTTCCACTGATGTTCTACTTTACCAAGCATGATGTCCTTCTCCAGGGACTGGTCCCTTCCGATAAGACCAAAGTACATGAGACAAGTCTCACCATCCTCACTTCTAAGGAGCATTCTGGCTATACTTCTTCCAAGACAGATTTGTTTGTTCTTCCAGCAGGCCACAGTATATTCAATATTCTTTGCCAACACTGTAATTCAAAGGCATCAATTCTTCTTCAATCTTCCTTATTCATTGTCCAGCTTTCATATGCATTTGAGGCAATTGAAAATACCATGGCTTGGGTCAGGCACACCTTAGTCCTCAAAGCAGCAGATTTGCCCAATGCAATACGTCATTTGATTTCTTGACTGCTGCTTTCATGGGTGTAGATTGTGGATCCAAGAATAATGAAATCCTTGACAACTTCAATCTTTTCTCTGTTTATCCTGATGTTTCTTACTGAACACTAGAACAACTCAAAAAAGAAAGAAGTAAGGAAAGATGATGAGAGATGATAGGAAGGAAAGAAGGAAGGGAGGGAGGGAGGAAGGAAACAGAAAAATAAAATACCATAGTACCTGTTTTGATTCTCCAGTGCCACTCTAACAAAAATACCACAAATGGGATGGCTTCAACAAACAGGAGTTTATTCTCTTACAGTTTAGGAGGATAGAGTTCTAAGTTCAAAGTACCTGCTCTAGGGGCTGGGTGAAAGCTCCCAACCTTGGACTTCAGCTCTGCCTTTTGCTCCTGGCCCACTGGAGCTAAAGGCATCTCTTCACTCAGGTAGCTGCTGGCTGCTGAGGCTAACAAGCCCAAGGTCAACAAATAAAAAGTCACAGTCCCAGCAGGGCAGCTGCTAGTTTAAGTCCAGAGACAGTCCCAAGATCAACAGGTGACCATGGCAGGCTGCTGAATGAAGACTCGGCTGCATGTAGGGCCCAAGAATTCCAAAAAGCTGCAGACCTTTCTCAAAGCTTCTCCTTACATACAGGAAGCAGACCACATCCCTAAGGCAGCTACTCAGCTGCTCCAGCAGATTCCACCATGTTGATTACCAGTCTCATCATGAGGAATCAATACATCCAACTGCCCGGCCACTCAAAACCAGGCCCAGCCAAGTTGACAACAACTTAACTACCACAGTACCTGTTCACCAGAGCTAGGGATCAGTCAGTCAACAGGGCTGAGTCAAATATTCTTTTCTCCTTTTATATCCAAATACAAAAATATAGGTTTTTAAAGAGCATTTTATTATAACACTGAGAGAGGGTATGCCAAGCATTATTAGCTTACTGACTTGAAAAAAAGAAATTAATACAATAAAATAAATGCACAAGTTGAATGAGACAGAGTTCTCAACAGTCTCTGGCTCCCAACTTTCCATGTGGCAATGGACATTTCCCAGAATTTCATAAGAAATATTATGGGGTCCAGGAGCTCTGGTAGCATAGCATGTGACTGCTAACTAGAAGGCTGGTCGTTCAAACTCATCAGTTATTTCCCAGAAGGAAGGTTGGGCAATCTACTTCCATAGTGATACCGCATCGGAAACCCAAGGAGGGGTCTCTATGAGTCGGATCCGATTCCACAGCAGTGGTTGTGTTATTATGGGGTCCATAACCTGAGGAACTGCCTAGGGATCATAATGATATGAAGACCTACTTTCCCATTTCTCTGAAGGCATATAACCCCAAGTTCCCCCGGGAGCTCCCCAGGAATGTTGTCCCAGATCACAGGCTCTGATCCAATTTGCCAAGCAAGTTGTTGTTGTTGTTATTATGTGTCGTGGAGTCAGACCCGACTCATAGAGACCCCTCCTTGGGTTTCCGAGGCAGTATCACTACGGAAGTAGATTGCCCAACCTTCCTTCCGAGGAGTGGCTGGTGGGTTTGAACCGCCAGCCTTCTGGTTAGCAGTCAAGTGTCTTAGCCACTATGCTACCAGAGCTCCTGCCAAGCCAGTAAGAAGGTCTAAATTCTCTCCATCGTTCCATCTCATTTTAACTCATGTTCTCCCTTCCATATCAGCTGCCTCTATGAAGTCAGAGAATTCCAGCCAAGGCAGCTGGACCCTAGGATGCTTTGGGTACAACTGTGAAGCTAAAAAATTGAAGGTGGAAAGTCAGCCAGGAGGACGGAAGAGAAGGAAGCCAATTGTGTACAGACTCTTAAAGATGGAAGAGAGCACTGGAGCTCAAAGGGTGAGTGCAGGAGCCAGTCTTGTCAAGATTCTGATGGGATATAGGGCTTCTTGCAGATGAAAAGTAAGCTAATGTCACAGGAGGCATCATTCCAGGACCGAAGTGAGGTGATTTTTATATTGGCACAGTGTTCATTGCTACCAACATTGTTGGGCTCGCCTGGAATCCAGAACCTACCAAGTGCAAAGATAAAAACCCATTTACAAAATGGAAACAAAAGAAAAAATAATTTTCAACAGGGATGAGTTATTTCAATCCCAGCTGTGGTCCTAGATAATATTGTAGGGAATTTCTGAAACCAAGTTTGAGAGGAAAAGGACTGCTGAGCCATCAGTCTCTAAACCTTCAATCATCCCTCAAGTTAGGGTCAAACCAGGACACCATTCACATGCTCCTTCACAAGTACACACTGCAAAGACTTAGAAGATGAGCCCTGTAAAGCTGTGTGCAAGGCTGTGCTGCCAAACTCCAATGGCACCAAGAGGCTCCAGATTTGTCCCAGGTCTTCCAGCCAATTAGCGGCATAGGTAACATAGATCTCCATTCCAATGCTCCTGCCACACTGGGACAGGGAAGACTCACAGGCCCCATACTTACTCTTCATGCCCTGGTCTTGGTCCTGGCCCAGGAGAGCTAGGCTGGGAAGGAGGCTAGGAGGCTTACCTTGCACTTTGAACCTTATTGAATGGAGTGTTATCTGCCCAGTACCAGTCCCCTTCACTCCCTGCTTTAGTCAGGCCGATCCAGTAAACACCTCCTCCTGCTGTCTTGTATAGAAACTCCTGCAGGGAAGACAGAATGAACAGAAGTCCTGCTATGACTTGAAATTTGAGCATTTTCCTGAGTGTTCTTTACCTGTCCTCTGGACAACCCCTGAACCCACACCCACTGTTCACACTGACCTTACTCAAGCCTATTCCTGTCCTTGCCAAAGCCCAGAATACATCTTCTAAATTCTTGTTATTCATTATTCTGCAACTAACAGACTCAGGCCTCAGGAAGGGGCTGCTGGAGTACAAGAAAGACTCAGCTAAACTCCAAAGTAGGGGCCCCAAGAAGATGGCCCAGGTAATAACAGTTAAATTTATTGAGGGATTAATATGCCCCAGACACTATGCTAGCCTTGGTTGCATAGTGTTTAAACTCTTGGCTGCTAACAGAAAGGCTGTCAGTTTAAACCCACGAGCCACTCAATGGGAGAAAGACGTGGCAGTCTGCTTTTGTAAAGACTGCAGTCTAGGAAACCCTATAAGGCAGTTCTACTCTGTTCTATGCAGTCAAAATTGACTTGATGGCCGTGGATTTTGGAAGTAATATGCTAAGCCCTTTATGTGTATTTACTCATTTATTCTCTGAAACAGATACTACTATCACACATGTTTCACAGATGAATAGGCTGAGGCCTAGTGAGGGTAAATCATCTATTCAAGGCTATTGGACAAGTTAGGTGGCAGCACTGGAACCGTAGACTCTGACTGACTCCAGAATCCATGCTCTTACTCACTCTGCTATTCTGCCTCCCAAATGAAATGGCTTTGTTCAATATTCTGCCTCACTAAGCAGGAGACTTCTTGGGTCATGTGGTACCATTAATACTGTTCATAAATATTTCTGTGTTCTGGACACATGGAAGGATTTCATCTCCTTGCCCACTTTGAAGGTGAAAGTACTGTGTGATTTGTTTTGGCCAATGAAGTATGAGTAGAAATGATGTGTGTTATTTCTGGACAGAAGCTTAAGAGCCCATGCACAATTTGCCATGTTCCATTTTCCCACCCCAGCAATGGTGGAAACACATGGTGAAATGAAGTCTCCTTCAACCCAGGTCTTTGAGTAACCATAACTAAATGGACCCTCTTGCTGGCCTTCATTGGATATGCAGCATAAATGAAAAAGAATCCTTTGTTGCTATGTCACTGATATTTGGGGACTGTTTATTACATAACATACTCTTGCTCATCCTGCCTGAAACAGGCCACAAGCTGTTAACACTCCATTCCCAGAGTCCATAGAAACAGCACTCACCTGTTCATTCTCTGAGGTCACTGAAGTCAAGTGAGAATTCCGGGATGTACAGAACTGCTGGGCACTGTACCAGGTCTTTGATACGTGAGAAAAGTAATAGAAGTTCCCCTTGAAGTACTTCCAGCCTTGAGAAAGCATCTGTAGAATGTCATCTGGGGAACAAGGACTAATGATAAACACTGCTGTTCCTGTTTTCTTTGGGTTCTGGTTAGGCAGGGGTACTTGAATGGGATGTCAGAAACAGTAATGAATTAGGCTGGGCCTTGGAGTCCCTGAGTCCTCATATAGGGATCTGGGGACATGCTGAGATTTTGAAAGCCTGACTGAGAGTGGTAGACCCTCTGGGCTAGAGAGGAAAGAATGAGAAATAATGAGTGGAAGATCTTTCTCTGCTAGGAGGGGAAACCAATATTCCATTGGCCATTACAAATGGCTAAGTTCATGGGCTCTACATTAGGAATGTACTGGGAAATGGCTAAACTTGGGCCGGGACAGAGATTTCCTAATGTTTTCATATTCTGCACATTGGTGTGACAGCCCAAGCTGGTCCCTGGTCTCTCCTCTCCTAAGCAGCCCCCAAGTCCTTTCCACCCCAGTGCTGAGCCCTGCTCCTCTCCCTTTCCCTCCTCACTCACAGGCCTAACATCCTCATGTCTGAGAATGGGCAGGCTCCCACAGGCACTGGTCAGCTTTGCAATCGTATTTGCTGAGACACTTACTTTGTTGTCTGAGTGATTTGTCCATATTCTCCAAACTGTTCTGAAGTCCACGGACCTTTGCATTTAAAGCACTGGCTTTATCCAAATCTCTTTTTAACTCTGGGATTTGGGCATTTAGAACATCAACTTCCGCCCAACTTCTTGTTAGTACCTGGATCTGCGAATTGGCTTTCTCCAAACCAGTTTCTAATATCAGGAGCTGAGAACGCACTTGATTCAGGCTGACATTCACCTTCTGGATCTGAGTGCTGGCTACCTTCAGACCACCACGATTCCTTTTAATTTCAGAACTTCCAGTGCTGATGTTGTCCACACGTCCTTTTAGCAACTGAGCATTGGTCCTTACATTTGATATTGTTCCCAAAAGCCAAGAATCTGAATTTGAGAAATCAAGAGGTCAGCTGAGGGGATCCCTAGAGTGGAGTGATAAAAAGAAGAGAAGGGAGGGGACAAGCTCAAGCTTCTCAAGGAAACAAGCCAGCCCAAATAGCTGCCTCCTACCCGCCATACGTTCATTAAGGCATTCATTCAACAAACATGGACTACACACTTACCATGTGCCAGGAACTCTGGTGGACACACACAATACAAAAATGGATAAAAACATAAGCTCTCTGTTAGAGGATCTCACAGGTAAGTGGAAGCAGGGATTAAAATCCAGTCCTGAATTTTCTTTGAACATTCAGGACACATGGATAAAGGGATGTCTTCAATCACCCCTTTGTCACCCTCTCCACATCCCTATGGGCCCCATCACTTGATTATCATCCCTATCTTTTCAGATACCTCTCTCATCTGCCCACAGGCCCCTTCATGGACACAGGGAGGGCCAAGCATGCAGTTTCTTAATCTGGAAGTGGCTTTGTCCCCAGAGAACACAGAAAGGGAGAATTATGAAACCATGTATCTCCCTTCCCTTGCCCCTTTCACACTTCACTCAGAACATACATTGGCTTGGGTGCCTTTACCAAAAAAAAACAAACCCACTGCTGTCGAGTTGAATCCAACTCATAGTGACCCCTCCTTGGGTGTTTCCGAGGCGGTATCACTACGGAAGTAGATTGCTCAGCCTTCCTTCCAAGGAGTGGCTGGTGGGTTTGACCCACCAGTCTTCTGGTTAGCAGTCAAATGCCTCAGGCACTATGCCACCAGAGCTCCTTGAGTGCCTTAAAGAGGAGAAAAAAGAAACCAAGAGGGCTCAAAGGACAGTCCTATGGAAAAAGGTAAGTTAGAGACCAGGAAGCTCTGAACTTGGCAAGTAGCAGGAGAAGGCTCTGCTCAGAGGCTACAAGTCTGAGCCAACATGTGCCCCTAGGCTATGGAGAAAGAAGACAGCTTGTTCTCTCCATCTGCTTCTGGAGACCTGGCAGGAGGAAGATGGCTTGACCAGCTGTAGAGAGCATATAACTTTGCAAAAACAGAAGAGGGAAAAAGGTACATCACACATCTAATGAATGAATAGGAAGACTCCATGAGGTGATCTTCACGGGGACAGGAGAATGGAGAGAGCATGAAGGAGTCCTGGTGAGGGAAGTCAAACAGTAAAGATTTGTGAGCTTGTTGGCCATCGAGTCAGCTGGGCTCAGGGCACACTTGGGAGTCAGTCTCTCATAAGACCAGGAGGCAATTTCGCTCACTGCCAAGAGCTGATCACAGACTCTGAATCAAAGATATGCACAGCTCAGGGCAGGGGGATGAGACGTAGATGAACATCTCCTAGGGACAAATACATGTATCCCTGAGCACAAACACGCAAGCACTGATCCCAATCTGGAAAATCTCCCAGGAAGTTGAAAAGTTGAAAACTCATCTTACCAGGCTGGGTGGCCTATTTACTGCAAATGGAAAGAGGAGAAACAAGACATGTAGAAAAGCCAGAGGCAGGGAGTCCACTGGAGGATAGGAAAGAGGGAGCCTGGGTCTTGAGAGTGCCACAGAGTAGGAAAGAAGGAATAAGTACAGAAGATAAAGCCTGAGGACTTACAGAGGATACTCTGCAGCAGGATGGAGGTGACCAGGACCAGAGTTAGGAAGGTCAATACAACACATATTGTAGAAGGCTTCCTCAGAGCCAGAGGCTGATCCCTTTTGGTAGGAGGCTCTGCTGGGAGAAAAATAAGCAAATATTTGTTGAAGGACCAGCAAAAAGCTGATATGGGTGTAGCACTGAGCAGTTTCACAGCAGGACTGGTTCTTGCCTCTGGGCCAGAGGGCGATGTTCTGTTTATCTACAGTGAAATGCGCACAAGGGAGCTCCTCTCCAGTCGTCATCCTGCGCCACTCACCCTCGAAGTCTAGGTGCCTCCAGCTGGCAATCTCCCCAAGGACCTTTTATCTAGAAGAAATGAGAAGTAAGTCTGTCAATAGGCCACCCACATCCTCCCAAAGTTCCTCATTCCTGGCTTAAACACCTTGCCTGGGCTTGACCCTGGCTATCTGTGGAAAGTAGCACCTATGGCAAGCACTGAAATTGCGCCCTTGTCCAAATATCTGACACCCAGCTTTTAGATAACTTTAGCATATCAGCTCAAAAAAGGCAAGTCAATCTCCTTAATCTTTTTTTTTTTTATAGATAGTATATTTTATTGTTATTTTGGAGAAAATTTACATAGCAAATTAAGTTCTCAATTAACAATTTCTATACTTATTATTATTATTATTATTATTTTTAAGGAGCTGTGGTGTTGCAGTGGCTACTAACCAAAATGTCCATGGCTCAAACCCACCAGCAGCTCTGGTGGTAGAAAAAGACAAGACAGTCTGCTTTCCTAAAGATTCACAGCCCTGGAAATCCCATGGGGCAGTTCTACTCTGTCCTATAGGGTCACTATGAGTCACGATCTACTAGATGTCAGTGGGCCTGGTTTTTTGGTATAGGTATTGTTTAGTGACATTGGTCACATTTCTTACAATGTGTCAGCATTCTCATTATTTCCATTCTGGTCGGTTAGCTTTCTTTAATCTAGCTTCCTTACCCTCCCTTCTCTTCTCCTCTTTGGTCTAGAATAAAAGTTGACCTTTAGATCTCATTTAGAAAGTTCCTTAATCTTTTACTTACATTATGGCACTACATGAAAATTACAACTGCACCTTCCTTGCTTTCACTGATGAAAATTCGTCTATGATGTGCTCAAAATCTTTTTTTTTTTTTCCAGCTTCTTCTCTTTCTACGCTCAGCAGAGCAGTCACGGACCTTCCTGGCACAGGCAGAGCCAGGAGTCTGTAGTGGGTAGTGCAGAAGTCTTACATCCAAACCACTTCCTGAGGAGTGGAACGTTGGACACTGGCCTGTGTCTGTGGCCACCCACACGCTCAATCGGGGCTAGGCCCATGGCCCAGACCACCCAGGCCATGAAAAGTGCAGAATGTTTCAGGAATCAGGTGTAGCAGGGTGAAGTCCAGCGCAGACAAGAGGGAGATCAGCCAATTAGGCTGTGAGACCACCCCCACCAGAGGCCAGTCCAAAGGGAAGCGCAGCAAGAATGACAGGAGCGTCAAAAGGGATGGAGAATGGGAAGCGAAATACAATCAGGCCGGCGCCCTTGGGGATGCTTTTCCAATCTCTTCTGCTTATTGGAAAGAGCCACGCTAAAATTAATGCCCACACTCAGACCAGGGATAGATAGCAAAAATTTCTCTGCTGCCTGTATACCTTTTCCAAGATAACTAGGAGATTAAGTTTCCAGCAGATGAGAGCTTCAGGGAGAAGAAAAGATCACACAGTCTACCTTGACTGTGTCAAGGAGTCTCTCAAATAAGAAATTATTCATTTTAACTTACTGAATGATCTCTGACAGCTGGAGGTGGAAACTGTGATAGTTAATAGAAACTTCTCAATGGCACCTCCCTCCAAGTGCCCTTTGAACTGTGCATATCCATCTATTGTTATGTGCATCACCCGTATTGTAATTCCTGCCATACCTGCCATACCTTAAATATGCCTCTGCCTTGGCCACAGCTTATTTCTCTCTTCAAAGAGCCAAGCTTTCAGGAAAAGGCAAGTTGTCTTCTTCTTTGGGGAATCTGTTACATGAACACCTTGTCCCAAAGCTATCTCATGGCTCTTGTAAGATTACCCTCTTCTATCCATCAACTCACCCATTTCTTCATCCCACAAATGCATATTGAGTGCTTTCTAGATACCAGGCACTGTACTAAGCCCTGGGCAATAAAGAATTATGTTCCTGTGAAATAATTCTTCAGTTAATTGTTCTATGCATTGCAACAATTACTCCAGTGATAGAACTAAAGAAATATCTGACTAATAGGGAGAAACTGGGAGCTCTGGTGGCATAGTGCCTAAGGCATGTGACTGTTAACCAGAAGGTTGGCGGTTCAAACCCATCAGCCACTCCTTGGAAGAAGGTTAGGCAATCTACTTCCATAGTGATACCGCCTCGGAAACCCAAGAAGGTGTTGCTATGAGTCAGATCCAACTTGATGGCAGTGAGTTTGGTTTGGAATTTTATCCAAAATTTACCAAGAACTCTTAAAAGTCAACCATAAGAAAACAAACAACCCTATTAGAAATGGGCAAAAGATTCAAATGCAAAAGACCAAAGACATGCAGTTAGCAAAGAATATGAAAAAATGCTCAATATCATATTTCATTCCCAAACCAAAACTCACTGCCATAAAGTGGATTCTGACTCACAGCAACCCTATAGACAGAGTAGAACTGCCCCATAGGGTTTCCAAGACTGTTCATCTTTATGAAAGAGGACTGCCTTATCTTTCTTCCATGAAGCAGCCAGTAGCGACCTTTTGGTTAGCAGTAGAATGCTTTAACCACCACACCACCAGGGCTCCTCATATGTCATTAGGGAATTGCAAATTGGGAGTATGGGGCAAAAGAGAGCATGGAGCTCTTGGCTGATTATTCAGGTTACCTAGTGCCACTCTGACAAGAAATATACCACAAATGGGATGGCCTTAACAAACAGGAGTTTATTCTCTTACAGTTTGGAAGCTTTAAGTCCAAGTTCAAAGTGCCAGGCTCTAGGGGCTGGGTGAAATCCCCTTAACCTTGGGCTTCAGCTCTGCCTCCTGTTCCCAGCCCACTGGAGCTAGAGGCATTTCTTCATTCAGACAGCTGCTGGCTGCTGAGGCTGAAAAGCCCAAGGTTGACAAGTAAAAAGGCACAGTCCCAATGTTACCAAACCACACAGCAGGCCATTAACTTAAGTCCATTGTAAGTCCTAAGGTCAGCAGAGCATGGCAAGCTGATGAATGACACAGCTACATGCAGGGTTCAAGTGTGCCATAAGCTATAGACCATTCCCAAGGCATCTCCTTATGTACAGGAAGCAGACCACATTCCAAAGGCAGCGACTCAGCTGCTTGTGGTAGATCCCACCATGGAGTTGATTGCCAGTCTCATCATGTAGAATACTACCACCAGCTGCCCTGCCACTCAACCAGGCCCAGCCAAGTTGACACAGAAATATAAGTACCACACTGACTATAAACTGTGTGGAGCTGTTGGAGTACAAAGCATATGAAAGGAAGAGGCAAGGTATGGAGCTCAAGAGGCAGCTGGGGTCAAATCAGTGAGACCATTTGGGGCACTGTTAAGGAGCTTGAACTCAAGCTTGTGGGTGACACAAAGCTAGTGAAAGTTCCAAACCAAAAAAACTAAACTCACTGCCTTTAAGTCAGGTTTCCAAGGCAGTATCACTGTGGAAGTAGATTGTTCAACCTTCCTTCCAAGGAGTGGCTGGTGGGTTTGAACCACCATCCTTCTGGTTAGCAGTCAAATGCCTTAGGCACTATGCCACCAGAGCTCCTGTGAAAGTTCCAGGCAGGGGAAAGACATGAGCAGGGACTTTTTTAAAATAATAATAATAACACTGTATTGTGTTTTTGATGAAACTAGGCAGGGGCACTTTTTAAAGATCATTCTGATCATGGTAAGGAGTATAGATTGGGGTAGGGGAGCCTGGAATCAGGGAGATCGGTTAGGAGACCACTGCAATATTTTCTACTTTCTGTTATTAAGACATCTCAGCTGACACATTATGCCTTCATAAAATGCTGCTGGAAGATTAAAAATATAAACATAGGATTTGTGTTCTTCTCTTGCTTCCTGCAGCTTGTGAGCATCCCCAAACCAGCTGGCTTAGCAACATCAAACCAGCAAGTTTTCTCTCTTTTCTCTTCCCCCTCTTTGTCTCCACCTCCTCTCTCCTTCCTTGCGACCTTATATATGCATGCAGGAGATGCTAAGGGCAAAAAGGAGCTGATTTGGGACTCAGTGAAGGACGAAATTTTCCCTTGGCCAGGTTCTCATGCTTTGAAGATGTCTGCCAAATTTGAGAAACCTAGTACACAGCAAACCCTAAACAAATATTTGTTGGAAGGTAAACAGAGGAGAAGGAGAAGAGAAGAGAGGGAAGGAAGAAAGTTGGTACATGTAACTGGATGGGTAGATTCTCAATGGATAAGCAAATGAACAGAAGAATGGATGTATGGGTAGATGATAGATGGATGATAATAAACAAATAGAAGATTTGATGGCAGATTATGATGACTATGAAACCTGTTGACTGTGAGCTGACTTCCAAAAGCTACTGCTTCTCACTGCCTCGGGCAGTTCTCATTTATTTCCATAGCTAAGGCATAAAAGAAGCATCATTTATACCTTATCTAGAAATGCAATAAAGCTCTGGCCACACGACTAGGAAGTTGGGCTGGCCTTGCTGAGTCTGAGCCAGTGGAGTTAGATGACAGGATGGTATTAGATGCTCTACAGTTAGAGGTTAGGTGAGCAAGCCAAAAAAAGTAGCTACCTACACTGCAGGGGTTTCTGCTGCTTTTAATATTTGAGATCTTGCCTCCCTGCAACTTACAGGCCCCTCACTGCTCTCTCTCCACACTGACTGGGCCTTAAGCTAGAGCTGCTTCTCTAACTGGATAAGGGAACCCAAAGTGGACCCCACACCACACTTTTCAAATGCTAGGAAGGAAGGCCAGTCACCAGGATGGAAATGATCCTGGGTATCAGTGTCTCATTCATTTTGTCTCATCGGCCCTTGCCTACATTCTATTTGTAGCATCTGGGCCTGTGATCTTCTTGAACTTTTGACGCCAGCTAGCCCCACAAATGAAAGGCCTCACTCTAACTCACAACCTGTCTCTTAACTTCTGTGACTACATTCATTCTCTCAGACTACTCATATGGTTGCAGAGCCTTGGTCTCACCAGGCTTAGAAGGGATTAGAATGTTCTGCTTCTGGGCCCTCATGCTTGGTACACAGTTTAGCCCCAGAATG